TTAAAAAAAAAAAAAAGAAATAGTAAGAGGAAGAGGCCATAAGAGAAATTATATTCCTGTTATCGGAGTATAAATTCATGCCACTGTTGAGGGGCCATGGCAGTGATTTTGCATTTTTCATGCAGCAATTATAGGACATAAAAGCTATCCCAGAGAGATCTGCATAGAAAAATGTAAAAGCATATGTAACAACAATTGAAGACAATCTAAAAGTCAGTCAAGGAGACTGGTTTAACAAAATATGGTACTTGTACTATGAGAAAAACTGTTTAAAAATGAAGTGAATCTCAACACGGGAAAAGGTAATCATAGAACATGGAGCGAAAAAACCCACAAGTTTTAGGACAGCATGAAAGCAGGGAACCCACTTAATAAACCAAAGAACCAGAAAAAACCCCCACAACTTATGTGCAACATATATACACAGAAAAAATTGTGGAAACACATGCATCAAAATATTAACAGTGATAATTTCTAAAAAGTAGGACATTGAAGTTTTACTACAAACATAAACTGCTTTTGGTATTTTATAGTAAGAGAATTATCTTTATGGTGATTTTCTACTTTAAAAAGTCCGAATGAAGACTTAATATTTTGTTTTCAAATACTTGGATTAGTTTAGCATCATTTTATTGTATCTTTTTATGTCTTCCCTACAAATTTTTGCCTTCACATTATATAGATCATTGTTGTTCAATAAAAATTTGTGAGCCACATATGTAATTTTAAAAGTTCTAGTAGTCGCATTAAAAAGTAAAAACAGGGGTGCCTGGGTGGCTCAGTCAGCTAAGTATCCGACTTTGGCTCAGGTCATGATCTCACGGTTCGTGGGTTTGAGCTTCACATCGGGATCTGTGCTGACAGCTAACTCAGAGCCTGGAGCCTGTTTCAGATTCTGTGTCTCCCTCTCACTCTGCGCCCCCCCCCCCCCAACTTGTGCTCTGTCTCTGTCTCAAAAATTTTAAAAAATAAAAAGAAACGAGTGAAATTAATTTTAATAGTTTTATTTAACCCAAGATTGCCCAAACATCATTTGAACATGTGACCAATATAAAAATTGAGACATTTTATATTCTAAGTCTTCAAAATCCAGTGTGTATTTAATACTAATAAGCACATCTCAATTTGAACACTAAATTTTTATCAGAAAATATTTGATCTGTATTTACATTTCCTAAAATTCTTCATTTGAAAAAGTAGATTCACATACCCAGGTTACTTAAAAGTTCTCTACTAACTGAATCAAGGAGCTGTTTTTGAATTATACTTAAATTAGTTAAAATTAGATAAAATGAAAAAGTCAGTTTCTTAGTCATACCAGCTACATTTCTTTTTTTTTTTATGCTTTTTTTTTTTCTTTCTGAGAGAGAGACAGCGTGAGCAGGGGAGGGTCAGAGAGAGAGAGGGAGATGCAGAATCTGAAACAGGCTCCAGGCTCTGGGCTAGCTGTCAGCACAGAGCCCAACGTGGGGCTCGAACCCATGAACCATGAGATCATGACCTGAGCTGAAGTCGGATGCTTAACTGACTAAGCCACCCAGGTGCCCCCCAGCTACATTTCAAGTGCTCGTGAGCTACAGTCTGACTAGTGGCTATTAAGTCTATACTGATCTTTTAGCTTCTTGCTTATTACTATCTACTTTTGATTTCTATTTAGCTTTTTATCACTTAACTCTAAACCTTTTAAGCTTTATCTGTTTCACTGGGTATGGTTAATCTGACCTCGAGCCAGGGCCATACTGACCACTATAGCTTGACGAAGTGTTTACTATCTGGGATGGCCAGTGGACAGTCTCCCCACCCTCTCCATTTTTTCTTGATAATTCTTTCTTGATCTCGTTATGCTGTAATTTTGAACAATTTTATTAACTGAAGTAACACAAACATAAAAATTTCATTTATGTTGGTGAAATATAGGAATATAATTCTTTTCCCCAGAAACACTGAATGCTTTTATTAGATTCTTTTATCTCCCTCTGAGATTAGAGGGTTGCAGCAGTTACTTCTTGGTGGAGATGTCATCATCATCCAGAAACTAAAGGCTACAGTTCACAGCAGGCAGAAGTGGGCCCATCAGGATGTGGATGAATCTTGACACGAGGCCATCTGTGCTCCAGCATCACTTGAGAAGGGATTTCCCCTTTCACGGTAGAAAGGGGAGGACACCCCATGGCTTACTATGGGAAATATAATTATATGGTTTTCATGACAGCATCCGCCTTTACCAATAAGAGCTACAAAAGATGTATGCCTCTGAACAACATAGCACTGATTTTTTAATACTGTCCTAGTGTCTAGCAACTTTGAATTCACCTATTAATTCTAACATTTTTTATGCAGATTCTTTTGGATTCCTCCTGTCATGCTGTGTGATGATTTTTTTCTTTTCCAATTCTTACGTATTTTGTGTTTCTTTTCTTCCTGTATGGCTAGAACCTTTGTCACAATGTCGAATGAAGTAACTGGTAAGTAGAATCTGTGTCTTGTTCACAAACTCAAAGAGAGAGTTTCTAACATTTTTCCATTAAGAATGTGGTTTGCTATTGGCTTTATATATTGGTACCTTTATCAGATTTAAAGAAGTTTTTTCTATTCCAAGTTTCCCAAGAGTTTTTTAATGAATGATAACAAATTTTATCAAATGCTTTCCCCCACTGATTAAGATGAGTTTATTATTCTTCTCCCTTATTATGCAATTAATGTTTTTAATGTTTTATTTATTTCTGAGAGAGAGAGAGAGAGAGAGAGAGACAGCATGAGCAGGAGGGTCAGAGAGAGAAGGAAACACAGAATCCGAAACAGGCTCCAGGTTCTGAGCTAGCTGTCAGCACAGAGCCTGACATGGGGCTCAAACCCACGAACCATGAGATCATGACCTGAGCCGAAGTCGGACGCTTAACCGACTGAGCCACCCAGGTGCCCCGCAATATGTACTTTTATAAAGCAGTGATCTTCAATCTTAGTTGCACATTGCAATCACTGGGGAGCTTTCAAATGCTTACGTCCCATCCCCAGAGATTCCAATGTGGCTGGTCTGGGATGTGGCATAGACATCAAAAGCTTCTCAAGTGATTCTACTGTGCAACCAAGGTTGAGAACTGCAGATTTAAAGCCATCCCCTCTAAGTACAACTTTAACTGCACCCCACAAGTTAATTTTTCTTGATCATTCAAATTGTTTTAAAATTTCTGTGATAATTTTATGTAGCATTCTTATTTTTTTTAATTTTCAAGTTTATTAGGGGAGGGGAGGAGTAGAGAGAGAGAGGGAGAGAGAGAGAGAATCCCAAGCACTGACAATGCAGAGCCAGACATGGACCTCGAACTCATAAACCGTGAAATCGTGTCCTGAGCCAAAATCAAGAGTTGGATGCTTAACTGACTAAGCCACCTAGGCGCCCCTTCTGTAAAATTTTTAAAGGGGCAAATTCAATATATGGTTTTAGAGGTCAGGTGAGTAGTTACTTTGGGGAAGAAGGGAGGGGCTGTAATTGATGGAAACACGGGGAGCTTCTGAAGTGCATATTTAATTTGTGATGATTCATTGAGCTAGACACCTGTTTTATAAGTGTTTCTGTAATTTTATAGTATACTTAAAAATATATTTCATACAAGGAGTGGGAATTATAATGGCATTAGCTTTCTCAACATTAATACTGGGAGCTAGAAGAAACAGCATAATGTCTTCTAAATTTAATGGAAAATGATTTCCAACCTAGAATTCTGCATTCAAACTTTTGATCAAATGTGACGGTAAAATTAAAATATTTTCAGACAGAGAAAGTTGCAGGAAAGTTACCTTGCCTGCAACTTTTCTCAACCTCCTGGAGATCATGCTCCAATAAAAAGAGTAAATAAATAGGGATATGAAGACATGAGATCCTGGCAACAGAGATTTCAATAGAGGAGGAACACCAAAGAGGTTCCCAAGATGGCAAAACCTTGCAGCAGGTCTCCAGAGCCAGCGCCTGGGGACAGGGGGCGGGAGGGCTCGAGGGCAGACGTCTCCAAGACAAACTGAACCCAGGAGACCACGTGCTTATGTCTGCCACAGATACATTTTCCAGTTCTGTCAGAGCACAGGGATAAATCAGGGGTAGTTACACACAAAGCCAATCAACGAAAAAACCCAAATTAGGATAAACAACAAGTGATTCCCCCATCCAAAAATGGGGAAGTATAATCATAGTTCAACTCAGCTGTGAATAGGGGTTTTACAGTTATAACAACATAAACAGGGAGCACTGATTTAGCCAAGCATTGTGATGTAACTATGTGACATGAGGGGGAGGAAGGGGATTTTGTTCACACTCGTGGTGTACAGGGGAGGTGTTAGGTGAGGTTACATGAGATAATAAATCCTCATCTATAGTGGGACATTGAAAGATAAACTAAACTAGAAAATCAAGAAAGAGTGTCAACATGGAGAAGTTAAGTATCGCTAAGACAATTTAAACTGGGGGGAAGTGAGGGATGGGAAGGTGTGGGGCAGGATGCTGCTACTTTCTCTTATGAGGTCTGGAGCATGTGTCTTTTCAATTATGTGTATATAGTATTTCATAGAAATAAAATTTAAAAAAGTATAAAAATAAAAGAATCCCCAGAAGTTACAAGTTACTTTTAGCTTAAAAACTCTGGATAGTCACGTGAATCACCCCTGAACAAGAAGCAGCATAGTGGTAGCACACGCCGGTAATCATTATGAATTGTTGTTTCAACCCCAAATTCTCCCCATACGAAGGGCCAAATTATCTACATTTTAGTACAGAATACATGAAAAGCTGCTCCCAAAAGCCAAAACATACAAAGCAAATTATTTCATTTATCAAATCAGAGTGAATTCACATGATTGCAACCAACATGTAACTTCTCAAAAAGGTCTATTAAGTTATTTTGATCTGTTTTGCCCACACAGGATTATTTACCTTTTATGAGCTGATAATTAATGGGATTAAGTACCTGAATCAAAAGAGAAGATATGGTTTGTAGAAGTGAAATTACCTGAAGAAAGTCACGAAGAACTGTACCAGGTCCATAAAATTGCTGTGCTGGGAGAAGGCGATCTGTGAGGGAGAAACAGGCAGTGTGAGGAGGTAGACTACACAGCAGCACCATGAACGCAGCCTTCCTGGTTCAGGAGTTAAGCTAAAAGACACACTTGAAATGCTCAGCAAGAGACTAATGAAATTGTTTTCACTTGAGGAAAAGTGCCTCAACCCTTTAGTTTCTTTTCTGGCTTAACTGCCAACCCAAAGGTAATATTCTGAAGGTTCAAAGCACCCCTCTGCTCTTGACATCAGACCTAAGTCCTTTCGATGTGACCCTGAGGACCTCTCAGATCCCAAGATGAAAACCCCATTGCCAGGCAAGCCAGTTTGCTCTACCTCCTGAGCCTTCCTCTGGATAACATACTCTCCTTATTTGCTTCAAGTTCAAGTTCTTGGATCTGCCTCGAGGTTGGGAGCCTCATCTGGTGCCCTTCATCCCTTTCATACTTACACGCTCAATGAATACTCACTCCAGGATAATATCCTTTTTTAAAAAAATAGTATCTCAAGTTTTACTACAGTAAGTATCATCTGACAATCAATATAACACCAGTTGGAACCTAAATAATTTTATTATACAGTTAATAGTTTTTATATGAAGAATATAAAAAAATTCATAATGTAGTTCACCTAACTGACTGAAACAGGCATTATTTTGTACACTACTAAGGAAAAACACTGTCACTTATACTATGACAAAATGCTTTAAAAATCATTGACTGTAAGATGGATCGTGATTTCAGAGATACTAGAATTTGAAAAAAATGAGCATGTTCAGGATTTATTACTAAGTATGATAACTGTGTCCTTATTATTACATATAATACTCATAGTACTAGCCAGATGTTATGGCATATTCCATTTTTTGAATTTTTAAATTTTTTTATAAAATGATTTTTGAGTGTTTATTTCTTGTTTTTTTTTAATGTTTTATTTACTTTTGAGAGAGAGAGGCAGCGTGAACAGGGGAGGGTCAGAGAGGGAGATACAGAATCTGAGGCAGGCTCCAGGCTCTGAGCTAGCTGTCAGCACAGAGCCCGACGCGGGGCTCGAACCCACGAACCGTGAGATCATGACCTGAGGTGAAGTCGGATGCTTAACCGACTAAGCCACTCAGGTGCCCCATAAGGTTATTCAGTCTTGAGGAATGATGATTCCAGGTTACAACATATAAAGAAGGAGAAGGTAAGACATTCCAGTCCATCCAGTCCTGTTGATAAGAGTTTCATCTTTTAAACCATTAGTACGTCCTCTCTGTTTAGACTTAAAGAGATCCTGAGATGCTTTTCCTCACTGTCAGGTGCCAGGATGTATGGAAGCTAATAGTACCCTCTGAGGATACCAGATGTCTGTGCGCCCTGTGCCACAAAACACTCCTCAGTGCCGGGATCACAACTGACTTCTTGGTGAAGCAGGGCCACAACACATTCATGTCTAATTCAAAACCACAACGAACCAGTAGAAATTGGCTGCCAATGTAACTGTTACCCAGACTCACATTAAGGGGATCTCTTTCATTAAGTGTTATTGATCCAAGTCTCCACAGTTACATGTTTTGTAGGGAAACAGAAGTCCTAACAAAAGTGTTGATGAATAGACTGGCCACTTAGAAACATCTAGCCTTGCTCAACACCCCATCTACCACGTCAGTCTTTGCTGATTAATCTAATTGACAGGGTGATGAACTTATTGTCCAAACTGAGAACTTCTGAGAGAGAAGGGGAACGAGATTAAAAATTACACTGGGCGATCCTTATCAAAATAACACCAGCATTCTTCACAGAGCTAGAACAAACAATTCTAAAATTAGAACCAGAAAAGACACCGAACAGCCAATGTTGAAAAAGAAACCCAATGCTGCAGACATCACAATTCCAGATTTCAAACTGTGCTACAAAGCTGTAATCATCAAGTATGATGCTGGCACAGAAACAGACACACAGATCAATGGGACAGGATACAGAACCCAGAAAGGGGCCCCCAAATGTATGGCCAACTAATCTTCAATAAAGCAGGAAAAAATATCTGATGGAAAAAAGACAGTCTCTTCAGCAAATGGTGCTGGGAAAACTGGACAGCAATGTGCAGAAAAATGAAACTGGACCACTTTCTTACACCACACAAAAATAAATTCAAAATAGATGAAAGACCTAAATGTACGACAGGAAACATCAAAATCCTATAGGAGAAAACAGACAGCAACCTCTTTGACCTCAGCCACAGCAACTTCTTACTAGACATGTCTCTGCAGCCAAGGGGAACAAAAGCAAAAATGAACTATAGGGACGTCATCAAGATAAAAAGCTTCTGTACAGCGAAGGAACAATCAACAAAACTAAAAGGCAACCAACAGAATAGAAGAAGACATTTGCAAATGACATATCGGATAAAGGGTTAGTATTCAAAATTGATAAAGAACTTATCAAGCTCAACACCCAAAAAACAAATAATCCAGTGAAGAAATGGGCAGAAGACCTGAAGAACACTTTTCCAAAGAAGACATCCAGATGGCTAACAGACATATGAAAAGATACTCAACATCACTCGTCACCAGGGAAATACAAATCAAAACCATAATGCAATACCACCTCAAGAATGTCAGAATGGCTAAAATTAACAACTGAGGAAAAAACATGTTGGCAAGGACGTGGAGCAAGGGGAACATTTTTGCACTGCTGTTGGGAATGCAAACTGGTGCAGTCACTCTGGAAAACAGTGTGGGGGTTCCTCAAAAAATTGAAAATAGAACTACCCTATGACCCAACAATTGCACTACTAGGTATTTATCCAAAGGATACAAAAATGCTGATTTAAAAGTGGGGGGGCACACGCACTCCAATGTTTATAGCAGCACCACCCACAATAGTCAAATTATGGAAAGAGCCAGGATGTCCACTGACTGATGAATGGATAAAGAAGATGTGGTATATACATATACATACACATACACATACATTTATATGTATATATGTATATATATACATACACAATGGAATATTACTCAGTGATCAGAAAGAATGAAATCTTGTCATTTGCAACAAAGTGGATGGAATTAGAATGTATTATGCTAAGCGAAATAAGTTTGCCAGAGAAAGACAAATATCATATGATTTCACTCATACGTGGAATTTAAGAAACAAAACAGATGAACATAGGGGAAAGAAAGGAAAAATAAGATGAAAGCGGAGAGGGAGTCTAACCACAAAAGACTCTTAAATGGAGAGAACAAATTAGGGTTGCTGGAGGGGAGATGGGGGGGGAGGATGAGCTCAAGGGGTGATGGGCATTAAGGAGGGCACTTGTTGGGATGAGCACTAGGTGTTATATGTAAGTGATGAATCACTAACTGTATTCCTGAAACCAATACTATACTATATGTTAACTAACTTGAATTTAAATTTTAAAAAATTACAGTGGGACAACAAGCATGATTGGGCTGTCCCTACTCAGACCATCAGACATGCAAACCAATTACAAAAGCGATTTTGTGAAAGATGAGATTTTCCTGAAAGTGCTGTCGGAGAACTGATCGCACAAACCAGAGCGAAATGAGGGCTTGGCAGGATTATCAGCTGAAGAGGTATGAAGGTAAAAACACAAGTCCTTCAAAACACTGCAAAGAGGATTAAGAGAGGACCTTGGGAAAATTGATGAGGCTCTTGACTACTAAATCATGCTGTGAAGCCAAATCTGAAGTGAAGGACTCCATTTGTGCTGTCCCATCTCTGAGCACTATCTATCTGCATAACTGAAGCATTTTCACAATCTTGCTCATTTTCTAGGTGTAGATTTATTTATGGTCTTTTTCTTTCATTAGAAAATAAGATTCACAAGGACAGGGACCTTGCTGATGACTATACGTCTCTAGTGCCTAAAGCACTGATTGGCACCTAAGAGTGTGGAATAAATATGTGCTGAATAACTGAACAGGGTAATTGGAAAAATAATGACGCTATCCCCACTTCCCCCAAAACTTAGTAAGACCTGACTGAGTTTTCTTTCTTCTAAGAATCAGCTCATGGTTGCAACCATAATTTAAAATTTGTTGACTCTAAAGTTAAACATTTTTCGTGCTTTTCAGTTTCACTTAAGACAATATTCCAGTCAGAACTTTCTTTCATGATTATAAAATAAACATTGAAACAAACACTGAAGTGTTTGTGGCCTTTCTGACACTGAAGAAAATGGGGACTGCCTATAATAAAATATACTTAATACAAGGAAGAAAATGTTTTTACAATTTGAAAATGAAACAGTATCATTCTTCTCCCTTTTCAAACAGTACGTATCGCTCCCCACACTCCAGCAAACCTAGAATTCATGTCCCCTTACATTTCCACAACCTGCTTCTGCCTCACTTTCAGCAGTAAGTTTGATTTAAGGTGTGCTTGCCCAGGGGACCCTCTGGGTTCATTAAATAAATCTGAGAAACTAAATTCAGAAGCCCAGCTAGCGCCAGGGTTTAAGGGAGGACATGGTGGACCTGCATTTCCCAAGCAGTCATTTTGTGCTTCTGCCAAACACGTGTTTTCAGGTCACTCTACTACTAGGTCTTTCCGTCACCAGAGTGCCCTGGTCCCCCATCTGCTGTGGGTGGCCCCTGTCCCTCGCTGCCCAGTCCACACACACCCTTCCTTATTCTGCCGCCAGCTCCTCCACTGGGGATTGGCTCTCTTCTCTATACTCCCAGTGCCTGATCCACTTCCCTTTCAGGGCATGGGACAGTCATATTCCACTTTATACTATGGCTGTGTATGCAAGCGATGTCCTGGAAAAGAAGATTCCTGTACTCTCCTCTCTACAAAGGTAACAATTTCTGACTTTCTAACTGCTGTAGGATAAAGAATGAAATGGTAATTCCCTCCTACAGAAGCAGATACCCCTACCTCCAGAGGGCAAATACACCATTGTACTCCAAGAACTAGACCATGGCTCTTAAACTCTGGAGAGCCTGCAACAAAGTGCGAGTCTGGGCCCTATTCCTATTCCTGAAGCTTTAAGTGCCCCGGGTGATT